AAAGTCATTTGATTCCGAAAAACTTGAAGAGATTGTGAAAAATCTAAATATTCTTAAAAAGGGCCTGGGCAGGGGTTTCCAATACATATCTAAAAATTTGTCTCTCTAACACAGTCGTTATTGTAAATCGTTTAGGAATTTTTCATGAATGTTTACAATGCCAAATATTGTTCAAGAATTTTGTTTGATTCGATTAAATTATTGATGAAACTTTATGTGTATAAACGCAAGGTAGCTTTGTCTTATAGAAAAGCCAAATTGTCATTTACCAAACAAAATCTATCAAAAATGTTTCATGCCTAAAGCTCTGTCTAGATTTTCGGTTTTCTTAAACAGACGGACATGTTAACATTCAAACAATATTTAAAATTAAATGAACTAATTATTTTTAGAAAATCTATTGAAAATAAGTAAGAATCTATAATAAAAACTAATTCAGAAAAGTTTCTTAATCTGAATGTAAAGGACAAATGACAAATTAAGACATTTTGTATATTTTGTTTTTACAAAACGATTGAAATGACCTCTGGTGTAGAACATTTAATGTTTGTTATTGTTAATAAAGATGTTGAGAAAATTTGTTTGTTGTTACTTTTGCTATATTTAGAGAATTACGGAAGTCAAAAAAAAAATTCCCAATGGAAATGAAAAACTTTTATTTTACATTATTGTTAAATTGGTAAAAAATCAAAAAATTATACGATCTAATCAATGATTAAATATTAAATTAAACTGAAATAATTTTAAAATTTTAACTAATAATAGCAATTAAGTAGCTTATTATCTTGTTGTATATATATAGGTAGTAAGAGTATTTTGTAAGATGAGGAAGAAAACCGGAAGTATTTCTGAAAGATCTTTCGGAATATTTTGTAATATTATTGTATATTTGCGTTTATAATATTTTTAATAATAGTTAAGATTTAAAAATTTTCTCATTAATTATAAAATTGTTTAATTATGTATAGAATTTTTCTTATTCCGCTGAAATAATGCCATTATAATTCTAATTAAGTTTTCAATATAGTAATTGCAATTCAAATTTAAATTAGATTCGGATAAGGCATTTTAAAAAAATTGTGTAGATTTAATGAAAATAAAAGTATTATAGAATTGCCATGCAAAATACAAGAAACTATTGTTTGTTTAAAAATTTTGTGTTTCACGATTTGTAAATTTTAATTATTGTAAAATTATTTAAAAAGAAAATTAATTTGTTTTCTAAAGTAGATTTATAAAAGTTTTCATAATGCCCGTACCAACAAATGTTCGAACTCCTTTTGAAGTGCTAAGAAGAAAACAATTATGAATATTTCAGGTGAATCCTTAAAGAGTATATACATATAAAACTATACTACTATTTTTTACAACGTTTCGCAGCTTTGGCACTATCTCGACGAGTGTCCGAGATTGGTGGAGCCTGATTGGTCACGTGAAATAGAGCTATAATGGAAGGCTGAACAAGGTATCACCAATTCACATATTCCTCAAACGAATATGGCTTTTAGATTTGTATAGGCCGCTTGTAACTGTACGCTCTATAACGATCTGGTGGTTAAGTGGTGGTGGAAGCAAAACGGCCAATTTGTGCTAATTGGGGAGATATAGACATATTTACCTTCTTTCTTAGCTCCGAATTTTGAATGATTTTAGCCATATCTGCCCATCCGTCCATTTCGGCCATAATTAAAAAACGTATTGAGCTAGACTACCGAAATTTTCGTGAAATACAGACATTTGGAAAGAAAGCGAAAAACACCTAAAAATATTATTTGGCGAGTGGGTAAACTTTATCTTATTGGTATAACGGAACTTGTCATATTCTAGATGTTGCCGATATTTGTGTAAAAAAAATGTGAGCAGTATCCATGATTAGAATTCTTTAAAAAGTGCATAGCACAAACTTGCTTTTAGCTAAAAAATCTCCGTTTAGTAAAAAACTGAAGCGTGACAGAAGAGTGAATGACGTCTGTGTATATGTGTTTTTCTTTGTAAAATTTGAAAGAAATGAAAGTATACAGAATTCAATTTTTCTCGCGTTCTTGTTCTAAGAGGCAGATGGAGTTTTTACCTAATAATTTTAAATCAATTTTTCATGATCTACTTACCAATTTATTAGTAGGCGCACATAATCAATTTATTAGTAGTCTATTATTATTAATTTAGCACCAAAAGCATTTAAACTTACACACCGGTAATAAAAGTTGAAATTACTTTTAATTTTGCAATTTAATAACAAAATATCAAAATTAATTATAAACGCTGATTTCAAAGAAAAAACAAAAATTTGCCAATATTATTCAAACCTAATAAGCTGGCCATATCAATAATTACAAATATTTTGTTTCTACTAATTGATTAATTAAATATACCTTCAGTATTAAATCAAACTGTTAAGCCAATATAGTGTGTGTTGGGTAAAAACAAAAAAAATTTTGTTTTTGTCATATTATTGCACATGATCACCAACATCACCACTACCACCACCTACGTGACTGATTGTTTTTTTTACATTTTTAAAATAATCATAATATTTGTAGTAAAAAACGAAAATCTCAATAAATAAATCTATTTAATTTTCAAATATATTATACTATAGGTACTATGTGGTCCATGCCGCTTAAAAAAAAAACTCAATTACATTATGTATCATCAGTATTGCAGCACGTATAAGCAGGCACCCTAAGACGAAACCGCAAAAATCAAAAAATTAGCAAAAAAAAATCACAAAATTTATAAAACACTTTATCGATAGTTTATTAAAATGAATATCAGTAATTTTTGATTACAAAACACAATAATAATCAGTTTAACCGCATTACAAAAACCATATATGTAAAAAACTGAAATAGTGTAAGCTGAAGTGATTTTACAGCCTCAAAAGAAAAAAAAACCAAAATAATAATTTGCCCCATATCATAAGTGTTATGATATGATGCATAATTAGCACCAAATATTCATTTATTTATTTTTTACGAAATTCTTTTACCTTTATATTTGAAATTATCAAACAATATGTAATTATATTTCACCCGCAACATTTTATTATTCAAATACCATACGAAAGATATGTGTTTCTGTGAAATGGTTGTGTTTTAAATGATTTCTTTCTTAATTACAAACATTATAAATGTGTATCACTCTCAAAAGTATATTTAATTATCTTCACCATTACCATCTTCATTATAAAAGTATAAGATGATGTCAGACATTTTTTCGAATTTTTAAAATGGTAACATTCAATTGGCCTAAACGTTAAGTTTACAAGTGCCTATACAATATAATTTATGACATAGAGTAATCTTATAGTTTTAAAGTGAGTTCAACTAAGTTTTGAATAATAATAACTGGGAAGGTAGCGAAAAAGTAGACAGAATTTTCGTGACTATCGAATTTTTATCGATATCTATAAACTTATAAAATTTAAAACTTGTCGGAATTGCAATACTGAAAAATAATTGCTCCTAAAAACCGGCTTAAGATAATAGAATATGGAATATATTATGAAAGAAGGAATAGTTCCTAATTTTTCTGCTTTAGGCAGAAATAATAAATTGCCTTTGGTTCCGACACAGTATTGTTTCATAAAAATTTGAATTTTCATGACTTTGAAGCTGCAACTTAAAGAGAATACGAAAGAATTGAAAAATTAAGAATTTCATTTTTCAATCTTGAATGTTATAGAAATTTTGTAATGTTTTTTGTAATGTCTGTTAAATCAGTCTGCCAAAACGGATAATGAAGTAAAACTGATAAGCATATTTTCCCCCGAAAGTCTTTGGAAACAGTTAAAATATTAAACTGAGATTTATTAAAAAAAATACATAGTCCATTTATTTTCGAAATTTTAACTTTTGAATTTAATGCTTTCATTACGTCTTGCAAATTATAACATATAAACTCTAAATTTCTATGCAATATATTAATATTCGAAACTCTTAACTACTTAATAATCTAACATATTCTAACATAAAAGCGCTGTTTCAACGATTTACTTTGAACAAATAATGACAATTTATTCCTCTTTCAAGAAGGATAATGTGTCAAAATTTTATCTGAAAAATTTTCAATTGAGTATATTTTGACACCCGCTTGTTATAATAAAAGCTGAATAATCAAAGTTATAATAAAAGCTGAAGAAAATCGTTTTTTGGGCACAAGAATGTTACACACATATTTGTCGTGCATAATTGTAGTGTAATACCCTCCTGATTTATATTAATATTATTTAAAAGGTAAAGCCTTTATATGAAATACGATTCGGTGAAAATAATTTCGAAAAAATGTAAATAATCCAAAATTTATATGATTTAAAAAAAATTTGAAACTTATCATATCATATTGCAAGATATTTTACCAGTATAAATTGTATTAGAAATGCTCATAATAAAAATTAAAATTGAAAGGCACTCGCTTTGATCCATTAATGATTACTTAATTTTTTTTTTGCTTTCGAAAATAATGATCGTGAATTTATATTTAAATTTTTTTTCTTGTGGTTTCTTAAAATTTATTTTTGCATGTGAGTATACAATAATTCTGTAATGAAAATTTAGTAATGAAATCGTGTTATGTAACGTTATGTATGTGGAAAATTTATGTTTAGTAAACATTGTCTATATACACATAATAATAAGATGTACATACACACTTTTTCGTACATACACTATTATTAAAATATTATTGAATGATAATGAGAATTTAATGAGCTTCTCACATAGACTTATCACTTTAAATATCGGAGAATGAATTTCAACTAAGTATAGTAAAATAGAACATATTGATGCTAAGGCATGTAATCAATAAACAGTAAGAATGAAAGAAGCGCCATATACAAATTATATGACAACTAAAAATAATGGTATAAAAAACTAGAACAGTGATTCCCAAAGTGGTCTATATAGACCCCCAGGGGTCTACGAAGACCTGCTGGGGGTCTACGAAGGTGAAAAAAAAATTTGGGGGTCTATCAAATGAAAATGGGGGTCTACGAAATGAAAATGAGGGTCTATACAATAAAAAATTCCCTTTTTGAAAGACAATATGCTCAATTTGTGATCGATGCCGTTAACAGTATTCGAAATAATGCGTTAAATACGCGATTATTTGCGCAGTTGTGTGAAGAAAACGATGAAAATTTTACCCAACTCCTTTTTCACACAAATGTACGCTGGCTTTCAAGAGGATTATGTCTCTCCAGATTTTTTGCACTTTTTGAAACTGTTTTGGAGTTTCTCGAAAGTCATGATGAAAATTTGAAAGAAAACTTAGTAAATAGAAAAACAGATATAGCTTATCTAACTGATTTATTTGCTAAATTTAATGGGGTGAACTTGCAATTGCAAGGTGATAATTTAAACTTAATAAAAACCAAATCTATAATCTCTGCATTTCTTGCCAGAATTAAGATAATGAAGCAAAACATCGGACGTTATGAATTTTCCCAGTTTCCTAATTTGTCACCGGAAATATGCCAAGAAGACGATGTTTTAATTTATGTTCAACATTTGGATTCGCTATATTCAGATTTTGAGACTAGATTTGAAGATATTTTAACGCTTGTAATACCCCAATGGATAATTGATCCATTTGGTGAGATTGAGGAAATGGATGTTACCTTACAGGAGGAATTAATTGGAGTTAGTACTAACGAAGAGCTAAAGGTACAGTTTAGAAGGGGATACCAACAATTTTGGCTTCAAAAGGACATACCTGCTACTTATCCTAATTTATGGATTGTTGTAAGAAAGTTTTTAATTGCTTTCCCATCTTCATATCTTGTAGAAAGGGGGTTTAGCGCAGTTATGAATCTCATAACCAAAAAAAGAAACAAACTAGATATTATTAACCGAGGAGATTTGAGGTTAAACCTCACTAAATTAAAGCCAAACATTGATAGTTTATTATCAAATCATCAAATTCATCCCTCTCATTAAATTATTTTTATTTTTTCTAAAAATGTGATGTATTTTAAAAATAATATGTGATAATATTGACCGAAAAAGTTTAATGATATGTATAATATTGAATTAATTTTTTTTTTAGTTTTGCTCATGTAAGAAGTACTTTATTTTTATACAAGTTTAATTTATATTTTGTTGGTTTCGTTCATGTAAGAATTACTTTACTTTTATTTAAATTTGATAATTAAATTATTTAAATTTAATAACCAAATTGATTATGTTTTTTATTTAACTTTCTAACATCATAAGGGGTACCTTACTGCTGTTAGAAATGTAAATTTTTCAAAGACAATAGTTGGGGGTCTACCAAAAAATGAAAAACACGACAAGGGGTCTACGAGAGAAAATAGTTTGGGAACCTATGAACTAGAATGATTTTGGGAAAATATTGGTCTTATTTCCAATTAATTAATCACCTTTTTATAATAGCTTGCCGCTCGAGATCTACTATATACACCAGTAGAATGAAGGAAGTTTTAGTATTTCAAGTCACTCACTGCAGAAATATTTTATTTAAATTAAACTTTAGCATATTTATTGATAATCTCTTCATCATTTGATTTATTGTTGATTTTGTAGCAAATTTATTCTATCCATAAATATCTATAATTAAATCCAAAATTATGGGAATTTTGTTTATTAAATAATCAAATTTTGAAAGTAATTTTCGAGACGAGTAGTGTTTATTTTTTAAATTCACTGAACCAAAACAATTTTTAATATATCGGGTGATGCCGAAAAGGGTACATACAGAACTAGATTGTCTTTTACTAGATCGTGTCGCAGCTACCGCAGGCTTTTTAATAATCTCTGCGGGTGTCCGAAGATGTGAAAAATTGCCATATTCCTCAAAAGGACAGGATGACAAGATTCAGGATCATGTTTAAGATTATTTGTAATCATACGTTCGATGGTGACCTAGTGGTCACGGGATGGTGGTAACAAGATATAACGTTTGTGCTTATTGGGGTGCAGTAGACGTATTGAAACGGCCATGTCAACTAGCCATCATAATATATCACCACTATGCACACAAAATATAGGCAAGTTGTCACATAAGTTTATCACTTGATCATTCATAGTCAAGTTGCACTATTCAAATTTCAAATTACAAACTTTATGAACAAAAATATATTATTTAAGAAAACTGTTTTGAGATTTTATATTATAAATTGAAGCGGTAATTGTATAAAGAGATTAACTTACATTTGCATCCTGACACTTTTTTTCATTGACAAATTTTAAAAATATTACATCGTCAAATATGCATCGTCAATCACGCCTTCTATTCAGTTTCTTTTTATAAAAGTAATCACAGCTGAAAATATATGAAATTTAATGATGTTCTATCCGAGCACCTCGATTTTCGTCAAACTGTTAGTTAACCTTTTGTCCACTTACATCTTCAATTGAAATAGCAGCTCTCGTACACTCATTGAAGTTTTTTATTTTTTTTTTTTTTGCTTGCTATAAAGTTTGTTTTTTGTTGGATTTATTATTTTGTTTTCACAATTAGCGGGCTGTGAAACCGATTCACTTCATAATAACAGGCATCGGAGTGGAATTGGCATCGAAGAACAGAGTGACGCTCATTTGGGTGCCGGGCCATAGTGGCCATGCGGGCAACGAAGTTGCCGATGAGCTGGCGCGGAGGGGATCTGGGGCTGCCTTTCTGCGGTCTGTCTTCTTCTGCCGTGGGGGCCAGGCTTGCCTGCCTGCTCGCGGCGGAATGCGGCCGTCACTGGCGGGACACGAAAGGGTGCGAACATCACAGAATTGACATTTTCTATCTATTCTATTCTATATCTTGTCTATTATCGTTTTTCAAAAATTTTTGTATATCTCGAATTATAAGTATACATTCATAAACAAAATAATTATAAATTTCACAATAAATCAAAGATTAAACATTTTTTAATTTATCTCATTTTACTGTTATTTTATTTGCCGTTAATTGGAAAAGAAAATTCGCTGTCAAGGCTACGATTTGATATTACAAAACAGAAAACACACAAGTATTAAGATTATTGGTTGTAATTTTGATAGTAATTGGTAACAATAAACAATAAAACTTGTATGCATGCATGCATGGTAAACAATTTTTTTTTATAAGATTCGATATGATAAATATTCAAAGGCATGTGTGAACAAATGCAATTTTATCTTCTTGCCAATAAATTTAAATCTTATAAAATGTACAAAGGTCTAAACTGCAATTTATTTAAGTTCAATTTTGCTAGTGATGCCTTTTGTCGTTCTGGAATAAAACAATTTAAATCTTAAATTATTTTTTTTTTTTGATGGAACGTTCAACATTTTAACCTTTCTAACAGAGAGAGAGAGAGAGAGATGAAAAAAACGACTTGTAATTTTTCAATCAGTTTATTCACTTTGAGTGGAAAGTTCAAATGACAATTGAATAGAGCAGCTGTTGACAAGATAAATAAAATATAGAATGCAAAATAATGTCATGTAAATAACAATAAATTTTAATTTCTTCTTGAAATTTGGTCTCTCCGTATACAATTTCTAATATTTTGTGGGAAATATATAAGTATGAATGTTTGATGTAGTTTCATTAACAGTTAATTAAACATTGTGAACATGCTTTCCATAACATCGAATTTTATACATAAATTAATTATTTTGTTCATAAAACATCAAGAAAACGGCAAGACTGTCAGTCAAAATTTTAATTCAAAATTACGTGGTGTCAGAAAGTGCATATATATAAAATAAAATTTTATTTTAAAAATGTTAAAATTTTATCGATTTTTTTTTATTAAATCTAAGTATATAAAAAACAATATTTAAACGTGATTTGACCATAAAAGACTTGATAAATTATATACCATAAAATTTTCCCATAATTATAAAAAATAAAACTTGTTAAAATTTGAAAATAATATTTTTAAATGAATATGCTTTTTAAAACAACTTGGTATGTAGGTATTAATAAATTTTTTTTGGTCCTGCGATAATCAGCAATCATTTGACCCCTTTTTTGATGCAAATGTATAAGTATGTGCAATTTTATTTTCAATTATTTTATTATTATAGTCTAAAAAATGGCTGAGAAAATATTTATTTTGAGGTGTTCAACTTGAAGCACTTCAATGATTTGATTATAATTTAGTGCGACATTTTTTCTATAGATAAAATGTCAGAAGAATTTTTCAAAATCAAATTCTTGTATAGTTGATTTAGGAATGACATATTAAAATTAAACGTAGAATAAATGCCATCTTTAGGTTAAATTTCAAGTTTTTGTTTATTTTATCATATTAAAAAATATATACAGAATTTGTTGCAAGCTAATAGGAGCTTTTAAAAATTCAATGATCTTTAAAAACAATTTGAGATACTCATTATAGACGGTTTTATCTTATTTTGGCAGGTTTAGGCAGCCTAAATTTACATTAAACATTTTGTAAATAAATAAATAATTTAAAAAAAACTACAAGTTAGTGTAGAAAAAATTTTACTGCCTTGTAAAAGAAGATATTGTTTCCGATCATGCAGAATAACTAAGGAAGTAGTTGACAGAATAAAACACAGAGTAAATTATTAGATTATATTAATAAAACATTACGAATTCTTTACGACATTCCATACCTTACGGGATTAAAAGCAAATAACCTGGCATATATAGGTTATAGCAAATAACCTAGCATATGGAGTTTATATAGAGTATGTGCCAGATTACTTGTTTTCAATCATAGCAACGTTAATTTGTTCTTCTTAAACCTTCAATATTATTTTTTTCAATAATTAAGTATTCTATGTGCATTAACGGCTTTCATTGAAGACAAATAAAAATAAGTGCAAATTTAAGTAAAATCGAAATTCTGAAATGATTTCAAGAATTTTTAAACAAATGGGCTAGCTTATTTGCATAGCTTTTTATACAATTTTTAAAAATTAAAGTCTATAAGATTTTATTTATATAACTAAAGGTGCACGTAATGAAAAGGATCTATTAAAACGATTCTCTTAATTACCATTCTCTTAATGAATGAATCCGATACTAATATAGAGCTCAAATACACTATAATTAAGTTATTTAAGACATGAGGCTGCCTTTTGCATATGAAACTGGTTATTGTTGCATATTGGTTTTGTAGGTAGGTGTAAGTCCAAGGAAATAATGCCGGAGAAGTAGAGAAAGAAATAGAGATTCATAACTCAGAAGAGGTTGTATAGTTACAAATAGATTTTCTATAAACTGTTGAAATTTTACACAGGTTCAAATTGCTGTATATAAGAAAAAATACTTCAAAAATTTGTGAAAAGCCGGTTTCAGATAACAGTTCATTTAAAAACCTGTTCCGTTGCCAAACTTATTTTACTTACAATTTCTTATGATATCGAAGAAGTAGTTCTTAACGCTTTTTGCATTAATTGTATTTACAAATAGCTTTTAGTTTGAACACAATTTAGTTTGTCGAAAATTTTAATTTTGACGACTTTATTGAGTTCTAACTTGGAGAAAAGGAGCGATACAGTCTATATTCTAAAACTTGAATTCTAGTCTGTTGTAAACAGGCAGATGCAAGATAACAAGCACATTTTTTTTCAAATTGTTTGAATGTTAAATTTCAGCTTTGTTTATTTGACCTACTTAAGTATTTTGTTGCAATTATTTTCACTCCATTTAATTTTTTTTCTATTTAATTTAAATAAAGTTCTATAAACTTTAAAAATTTATCATTCACGGTTAGAAAAATGAAAATCATGTTCACCGTCAAAATATTTTAATTTTTTTTCTTAAATTTAAAAATCAAAACCCTCAAAATTGATACGTGCTTACTAAAATCATTTGTGTCTCTTATATGAACGCGTTTATTGTTGACAAAAGAATTAATTTATACGGTCAAAATAATTATGATTTTCACTTAAAATCTCAAAGTAAAATAGATAAAATATTTTTTATGTTTTCATCTTAAACCGTTATTTTGATTATGATTCTTCAA